AAGAAAGAAATGAACTAAAACTCATTACAGAATTTAATGAAATAAAAATTAAAAATATAGGATCAATACCAGAATATAATGGAAATAGAGACAAAACAGATCAATGGATAAGACAAGTGGAACAATGGTTGACAGGATATGGATTACCAAAAGGGAATGAACCGATGCAAATGGTAGATGGAACAGTAGCACAAGACCCATTGGTAAGAATAAATGACGAAGCAGAACCAGGAATACAATGGAGAACAGTTAGATTAAAAAGAAATCCGGCAAATAATACAGATGTAAGTAACTTTGCAGTAAACCCAGAAAGGGATGGAAGTTAACTGATTTTAGCAACAATAACAGGAAATCCTTTAGGTTTAACAAGACAAGCAGGGAGAGTTGGAAGATTGAATACAACATTTAACGGACCAGCAAACGACTGTTTAAGAGCAAAAAGAATAATAGAAATTATAGCAACAAGATTTTCAGGAGAAGTAAAAATAGCTTGGGAAGACACTCAAGGAGATGCAAGGCCTAGAACATGGGAAAATCATAGATTTATTGGAGAAACAGGAAATTTGATACCAATAGTGATAGGATTAAAATCATGGATAACTAATAATTTCTTAAGCATAGTAAATCCAGAATTAAACTACACTAAATTCATGAATATAAAAATGACATCAGAATTTGAGACAATACAAGAATATAATGTATACTTCAATAATCTACAACAATTGGCAAAACAAGAAAACATGGAAAGGAGAAATTTAATTGGACATTACCTAAGATCATTACCATCATGGGTAGAAACCAAATGTAGGAATTGGTTAGCCACAGAGGAAGCACAAGGAAGATTCCCGGAATTAAAAGGAAATATAGGATCAATCCAATCATTTTGTATTGTAATTTATTCACAAATAGAAAGACGGAATGGAGAATTAGGAATGAGACTTAATCAGAAAAGAAATTATGGAAGAAAAATTCAAGAATTAAATGAAGAAGAAAATGATGATTACAATGAAGAAATCGAAGAATTACAAGAAAAAATAGAAGCATTAAGAATGAGAGCAACAATATTTAAGAACCCAAAATCTAACAGAGATACAATGTCAGGAGAAATCATTGATGGAAAGACGGAAACATTTTCATGGCAAAATAATAAAGAGTCAAAAAGATTGAGAGGATCATTCAGAGGAAAGTCAAGAGGAGGTTATAAACCAAATAAACCAAGAAACAAAGACAGAAATTTTAATAACCAAAAAGGAAATTTTAGAGGAGAAAGCAACTTCAGAAGAAGTAATAATAGAACAAAAAATTCAGGAACAAGGATGTCCTGGGAAGACCTAGAAGAATTAGAAGAGGAAGAAAATTATGAAAATGAACAAATTGAAATGATGGAAGAAGAAGAATCAGAAGATGATCAGACAAAGATAGTAGAAATTCTAGAAGACAAAGAAATAGAAGTTCCAAGAAAAATTCAATCTTCAAAAGAGAAAGGAAGGAAATATGAAGAAAAAGTCATTACAGAATTAAGAAGCAAAGGAATACAAGTGATTGCGACAAAAGAAAGCGTAGAAGGAATAAATATTGGAGATAGAGGAATAGATTTTATGATCCAATCATCAAAAGGATTAGTATTCAGACAAATTAAAGACTGGAATAGGAAAGTAGGAGCAGACAAAGTAAAAGAATTAATAGTAACAGTGTCAAAAACGAAAGGAAGTAAAGGTATACTTATATCAAAGTCAGGATTTACAAAACCAGCATACGAAGAAATTGAAGAAAGAAAAGACATAGTATTATCAAATGGAACAGATATAGAAGAAAAAATTCAGGAAGTAATCTCAATAGAAATAGAACAAAGAAAAAGAATTAGAGAAACAAAAATAGAAGGAGCAGACGAAATAATCATAAATAAAGAATTACTCATTAAAAAACCAAAGGATGTTACCATAATAGAAGAAAAAATTCTTCAATTAAGAATGGGAAGAAAAGAAAAAAGAGTTCAAAGGCTCAGAAGAGTGGAAAAAATAGAAAATCTAAACAGAATATACGAAAGTCAAGAAGAATACTGTATGGAAGAAAGTGATAACAACTCAGAAGAAGAAATATATGAATTGCCAGAAAGAACGGATTACAAATTCCATATAAGGATAGAGATTAATGGAAAAGAATACATAGGAGTAGTAGACACAGGAGCAGCTAGAAATGCAATGCGACTTAAAGTAGCAAAAGAATTAGGATTAGATATAAGACCAACAGATAAAATCTTTCAGACAGTAGGAAATGCAGCAAGAGTCAAAGGAGTGACAAATGAAACAATAAAGGCAGGAGAAGAAAGAAGAAAAAGCAACGAAACTTTTTATATCATAGATAGCGAAGGAATGACCAAAATTATATTAGGACGACCATGGTTACAGAACCTAGGAAACCATGTCATAGATTCAGAAGGAATCATATGTAAAAAAGAAGGACAGAAGATAGGAAAGACATTAATCATGCTTTATAACTCACCAAAGAAAATAAAAATAGAAAACATGAATGAAATTTATGAAGAAGAATATACCAAAAAAGAACAAATGGAACTCTTAAATTATCTAGTAAACCCAAAAACATTGGCATTAATGGCAGGAAAAGAGATAATAGGATATATGATAGGAAGGATTAACGAAAAATTCGATATAACTGGAGGAATAACAAAAAAAATGGCAGGATATATTAGAAAACATTTAATAGGAATGGTCAAGAAATATGTTTCAACACAACTAAAGGAACATGTAGTAGACTATATGTTAAATACAATAGAAAGGATGGTAATACCAGATCATTTAATAGAAAAACAAATAGACAATCTATTGTCATACATTCTGAAGCTAATTACAAAAAATATATTTGAGTTCATGGAAGTAAATGATGAAGAAATGGAAGAATTATTGGAAGAAATACTCAATGAGGACGAAACAGATTATCAAGATAAAGATTATGAAATTAATATACCAGAATGGATGAATCCAGAAAATGAAGGAATTGAAGAATATGACAAAAGATTTGAAGAATTTATAGAAAATTATGAAGAATCAATTGAGATATTTAATAAATGGAACCCATGGAGAAATAAAGACGAAATAACCCCAGGAGTAAATAGAAATGAACTAATATTCCAAAAAAGAAGTGAAAATAATTCAAATGAAGAAAAAACTTATAATAGAAATAATGAAGTAAAATTTGGAGAATCAGCCGGACCAAAACCATCATTCTTAAATAACAATAGAAGAACATTTGAATCAGGAAGAATTATATCAAGACCAGGGCAAATACCAATTCATATTAGAAATGAAGAAAATAAAAATGAGGATTTACCAAAATATACGGAAGAACCTAAGAAGGAAGAAAAAAGAGTAGAATATACACCACTAACCACACCAAACACAACAGATAATGAAAGAGAAAATGAACCAAGAATATACAACAAGAAAGCCAATAGAAATAAATTTTCAAAAAAGAAATTTTCTTCTGCAGGAAAGAAGAAAAGAATTCAAGAAAAAGGAATAAATTATGAAAATGAAGAAAAGAAAAGTAAAGGATATAAGGAAGTATCAAGAAGAAATCCTTTTGCAACAAGACCACAATATCAAGGATCAAGAAGATCTACAACAACTAGACAACCAACCACGGCAACAATAACCACTATTGGAAGAACCCAAACAGGAGCAAGACTGACACTAATAGCAAGACTATACCAAAATGGAGATTGAGGATCAGAATTCACCACAATAGGAAAAATCAGAAATGTAGAATTTAAAGTATTATTTAATATGGAAAGAGAATACCATCTATAGAAAAAAATAAAGAGAAAATAATTAGAAAAATCTCAAAAGAAATTTTATAGGAAGCCTTTGCCAAAAATAGAAAATATGGCAGACGTTAAAGAAAACAATATAAATGAAAAATATAGAATTAAAGAAAGTTTCATACAAAGATATGATGAAATAGAAAAGATGAGAGACAAAAAATCAATTAAACAAATGAATAACAAAGAATTCCTAGAACAATTTAAAGGATTACCAGATATAAAAGAATTAAAGGACTTATTAATCCAGTATAAAGAAATATTTGCAGTATCTGAAGAAGATATGGAACAAATACCAAGAAACATAGCAGAATTTTCAATACCCTTCAAGAAAAATATGAAACCAAAGGATATGGATATCAACCCAGAAGAGAAAAAAGATATAAAAATCCAAGAATCACTGAAGAAATGGTTAAGGAATCAAATTAATGCAGGATATATTCAGAAAGTTGAGAAAGGTGCGATAGTCGAGAGAGTAGAATTCGCCTGTAATTTAATACATGTAGAAAAGAAAGGAAAAACGGAATTAAGACATTGTCAGAATATGACAAGGGTAAACGAATGTACAATAGAAAGATCACAAAGAATAGGATTTCTCGAAGCACAACTCAAAAATGCAGTAGGATATAAATATTATTCAACCATGGATATAAGAATGGGATTTAATAACTTAGGAATAAAAGAAGAAGACATATATAAAACGGCATTTAAATGTCTATACGGAATATATGTACAATTAGTTATGGGTTTCGGATATAAAGATGCACCAACAGAATTTCAAGAAACAATGGAAAGAATATTCAAGGAAGTGATATTTGAAGATTGGATATCAATATATATGGACGATATACTAGTAAAAACAAACTCAACTAGAGAAATGTTACAACACTTAGAAAAAGTATTCCACTATATGAGAAAAGGAAAAATTAAGGCAGATCCATCCAAATGTGAATTTATGAAAAAAGAAGTCAAAATATTAGGAAAATTAGTTT